AAGATCATAAGACTGATCTCGTGAAATGAGAACTGAAACAAGTTCGGTTCCCTGTCATGAAAGGTCCGGACTTGCCTGGCCATGGAGGCCAAACAATGCTCCGAGCTCAGGTTTTCCTGATTGTAACTGATGGTTTTCATATTGTACTTTCTAGTTCCAATTATATTCAAGTTTTGCCCTGATACCTTAGACAGGAGAGATGTACCATCCTGCAGTTATTGTAGCAAGATTGGCTTTTAAACCGATTTGTGTAATGCGATTCATGTACGAGTTTAAATTGTGGTTATGATGCTTCAGACGTCTCTCCCATGGAGAATAATACGTCTATTAGTTGATTTTCTTTGTTGTTTTAAGATTTGAAGGGTATGTTGATTTGAATACTCCAAGTGCAGTTGGTTGACCCAGTAGATAAAACAGCAGATAGGGATCTATCTCTTGTTAAAGAACTTGGTTTGAAGCTTATCTATGCTATCAACACTCATGTACATGCTGATCATGTTACCGGCACTGGCTTGATCAAGGTAGGCCTTGTATACCTTTTGGACTGACCCTTTTCATGGTTCATTTTGTAATGCTTAACTGGCACTCATCAAAATAACACTAGGAGGACAAAGATACTGTGTTCACTAGATGGCTATCTGCCATCATAAAGTAGATTTTATCAGCATTTCAATTGACTATGGTTTACTTGTTTTCTATACTGTAGAGTAAGGTTCCAGGGGTAAAATCTATCATATCTAAAGCAAGCAATGCACAAGCTGATCTTCTAATTGAACCTGGTGACAAAGTCTATTTTGGTGATCTGTTTCTTGAGGTATGTAGAACACATTTATTCAGTTCTGTCTCATGTCTTACATTGTTAGACATAATGCAAGTACTGCTGCTTAACTGGTTTCTTGTTAAAGTTAGTTGACTCATAATACCTCATGAAGGATTTAACCACTGCATATAGCCTTGATTCCTGAATTATGGTTTGAGCATGTACTACTTTTCATGAAAATGCAACTATTCTTAATTTCATTCACTGTGCGATGGTCAACATTTTAGTAATTTCAATACACTTGAGCCTTCTGATCTCATTATAGCTTATACTAGGTCTTAGGAAAAAAAAAGAAAAAGAAAAAGAACTTTTTGGAGCATTTCTTTTTAAGAGTAAGAATATATTCTATAGCCTATTATTATTCTAAATTAACCAGTAAATGAAAAATTATTCTATAGCCTTATATACACTTGAGCCTTCTGATCTCATTATGCTAAATTATTCTATAGCCTCTTTATGAAATGTAAATGAAAAAAGGATTATCCATTTAAAATGGATAATCCTTATAACAAAATGATCAGAAAATGGAGTTCCTTGTTTCAGGAGTGAGGATGTTTAAAGTAAAATTTATGGTAAGAAACAAAACTGAGATGTTATAAGGAAAAACTGTAGTTATCATATTCATTGTAGACATTTTGTTTTTACTGGTCTCTTTATGAAATGTAAATGAAAAAAGGATTATCCATTTAAAACTGTTAACCATGACAGATAATCATTTAAGCAAGATGAATCCTTGGTTTTGTGATGTGACGTTTTGCAAGAGTGAGCTGTGCAATCATGTGAACGAACAACCTACTGTTGCCTGCCAAAATAGTAAATAGTTGCTATTATGAACTTGTGTTGAATGTTAAGAACATATGAGGTACCTATGGTGTCAAAGTGATGTTCTTGATTTGCATTTATTTTGTTAGTAATCGTCATGTGTTGCACTTTTGCAAGGGTTTAATGAGGGAGATATTATCTGATTTAGTCTATGATAGGTAAACTTACAAGCGTATGAAACTAGGATTTAATTACTTTCTTCAGTTTGGTGGCTAGACTTTGTAATTATGCCTATCAGAGCTGCCTCAACAGCTGGTGTCTGGATGGCAGGTTCGTGCTACACCAGGTCATACATTAGGTTGTGTGACATATGTTACTGGGGATGGGCCTAATCAACCTCAACCAAGAATGGTTTTCACCGGTGATGCTCTATTGATTCGTGGATGTGGTAGGACAGATTTTCAGGTACAGCTTCTTAGCAAGGACGTGTAGATTCATATTTCCTTGACTGTGTCAAATACACTCTTTCTTCCGTAACTCAGAAAAAATTTCCCTTTTGAAGAATATTTTATTTATGATATTTTTTATAGAGCACTAAACACCAGAACTAGGGCAGTGCAGTAAACTATATGTGGATGTTGTGGTTTCAAGCTCAGAAATCCATTTTGTTGTTGAATTTAAGTTGCACACTAAGATCAGAGAATTCAGTTTTCTACTTCAGAGAATCAATTCTGACATTGGCATCTATATTTCCTTTCAGGGTGGAAGTTCCGAGACTTTATACAAATCAGTACATACACAGGCAAGGACTGTAATTATTTCTTGCATATGGGAGTGCTTAAGAGCTTATGGTAGCACTAGGAAGTGAAAAATATTGGTGTCTTTTGTCTTCTCCTTGCTCTAAGCTATGTTTTTCTTCTTACCTCTGTCATCTTGTTGGCATAGATCTTTACGCTGCCAAAAGATACATTGGTGTATCCTGCTCACGACTATAAGGGATTCACAGTAAGAAAAGAATCATTAATATTCTTTGTTCTCACTATACAAACAAATCACTTATGTATAGTCGTTTTTCTTTTCCAGGTTAGTACTGTGGGAGAGGAGATGAAGTATAATCCTCGCTTGACCAAGGATGAGGTAGTTTCCAGTTTCTGTTGATTACGGTTCATTGTCTTGAATGTCCACGTATGCGCAAAACTCTGAGTTGCTTGTTCTCAGAGACAGTATCTTGCCAAAGAAATGTGGTATTGAATAAAAAACCTGGGGATTTCAGGTGATATAGTTGACCTGAAATGTATACATGTCGTCCACTATGCATTAGGAGTCATCCAGAGCACTCTTCCGCGACTAAAAAGTCTGGAGAAATAATCCTACAGCGTCTTGCTTAAGCTTGATCAATGTCATGAATTAATCACAGATCATTTCTTTTTTTCTTTTCTGTCTGAAAACTATATCATTTGTTCCACTGTGCCGTGAATGTCTGTCTGGCTATGGTTCTAACTGTGCGTTTGCTTATGCAGGCCGGATTCAAAGGCATCATGGAGAGTAAGTAATACTTCTCAGTACTAGGAATGAATGCATATTCTACACATTTGACTGAAAATATCATTATTTTTCATCTAATGACAGATCTGAACTTGGCATACCCAAAGATGATGGACGTAGCAGTCCCTGCAAACATGCTTTGTGGATTGCAAGATGTGGAATCCAAAGCCAATTAAAGTTTTTGGTGAGCATATTACCATTCCCTCGGAGGACTTTCTCATCCAAGTGCAGGATTTCACATGTGAATAAGGAAGAGTGAAAACATCTCTGCTACTCGGCTGCATGCCAACCAATGTGTCGCCTGAAGCATTCTTGAAAGTGGTGTACTCAAACTGTAATAATATTACGCAATAATAGGTCCATGATTTTACTGGAAAATGGTGGAATACGCAAAAAACACATCTAACATGCTTGTGCTTAAACTTTTGGCAAAGGGGTCTGTAAATATGCTGAATTCCTGAATAATACTACTGGAAAACAACTGATTGGAAACTACTGATTTTCTTCCTGCACCACTTTAGAGGTAAAACGTCCTGCCTCCTTAAGGAATGAAACAACAGTTCGGAAATGGTAGCCGCCTGTTGAGGATAAGTTGGACAAGGGACAAAGTTCAAAGAAGCTTCCAGGAAATTACTTCTAGTACACCATAGGATTTTTAGTCCATTAGTGTACCACAAAGCTCTTTTAACTCTTCATCTGATAATGCCAAAGATAATCATATCAGGATCAAGAAGACAAATGCAGCGAGAATCATGTGGGATGCCAAGGTCCTCGTCAGACGTCAAGAGCAACCGCACCCGAGCCTGAGTTTGCAGGAAGCATATATATATATGTTAAACGTTCTTGGCCCAAAAAAGAAAAAAATATAAAAAAAATAAATCTAGATCGTGAATACTTGAACTATGATCAGGTCTTGCCCAGCTGGCTAATCCAGACTGATCAAATATAATCATACATATTTAGCATGACAACTGCCAAGCTATTTGGAAACATGTTCTCAGTAGCAGCAAGTCAACTTGTATTACTGAAGCCTCATTCTTTAGGATTAGTTTCATGAATGCACTTGTCTTGCAACCAAATACTCTTAATCCCCAATTGCCATGCTCTTAACCCGCATTGGTTAACAAATTAATCAACGATTTAAACTGTGCCATCATGACCTCATAGGAGGATGTTATGATTCTTCTTCATTTATATTAACAATTTTCATATGTATCTGATCTGATATTTGATTAAAAGTGCAGGACTCATATTTTCATTATAGTTTATTTACATGCAGAGAAAATGCTTAAATACAAGTCTCAGAATTCTTTTACTTCTTCTCCAATTTTTCTCTACTTTTTCTCTTCTTCTCAAAAGGCCTATCTCTTTGGGAGAGAGACCCTATTTTTAATTTATTTTTTCTAATAAATTCTCTTCTACAATTTCTTAATGAGAGTTCTCTATCTCTCCTAAAGGTTACTACTGAATTTTTTTTTTTTGGTTATTTTTGTAGGAGCTACTAGTTAGATTTTGGTGTATTTTTCTTCTTATTTGTTGTTTGATTTGAATTTTATTGACTAAAATTTCACGATGGCAGTGCACAGACTTATTCATATTTTTTCAAATATTTGTATCTATTAAATTGTAGATATGTTATATCTAGTGTATGTCCATTGGTGTAGATTTCTATAATGTTAATCAAATCGCACGATTTTCAGCAAAATAAAATTTGCTTTTTATTAAAAAAATGCTTAAATAGATGTACTAGCATAATAAAATTTGCTTTTTATTAAAAAAAAATGCTTAAATAGATGTACTATGGGGAGGTCCCACAGTACCATGTGTATTCTTGTTACAGATGAGAATTGAAAGAGCTAAAGGCTAAAGCTGATCAAGGACCTATTCCCATTACTGTTCCTCTACTCTTCAGGATCAGGGGCATGGACAAAGCCAGAGCTACCCCAACTAACAAAAGCCAAGTTCAATTATTGCACTTAATTTTGTTTTAATTTTCGACTTATACTTCCAATCAATCAAATTTCTTCATTCATTTACCTAGTCAAGGAAATATCCTTCTAGCCTAAGAAAAATGAGTGACGATGGGAAAGAGAGCTACCGCTCCCACCACCACCACCACATATCCCACCACCATCACCACCATGATGATGAAGAAAAACAAGAATCACTACCACCACCGCCACCACCACCCGAATATGGAACTTTCCAAGGAGTAGCCAACTACCCTCCTCAGCCAGTGATCGGCTTCCCTCAGCCGGTCCCACCTCCAGGTGCCTCAGATCGACCATACTATGCTCATGGTTATCAGGCTGTCCCGGGTAAACTAATCTCTTCAAACCCTTGAACCCTCTTTCTTCTTTTTAAAAATTTTTCTTTTACTATATATTTTGAAAATACTTTCATTTCTAGAGCAGTAGATATGAGTTTTCCCAAGTTAGTTAATCAAGAAAAGCTAGAAGGATAGGAAAACTGAGAAAAGATCAAATTTTTATTTTTGTCTTTAAAGAAAATTAAGTGATTTACAAAGGAAAACAAAAATGAAATGATGATTCGAAGTGGGATTAATTATCTTTTTGTTTTCTTTTTTTTTTTTTGGTTAATTTGAGTCAAGTGGCAAATTTAGGCTTTATATTGTTTCCTTATGAGAACTGCATATTGCAGTGTATGCTACAGGATTTGAGTTGCATTTGTTCACAGCATGATTCCAATAACAATGCAATTTCTCTTATTAAAGGATGCTGAATATATGTTGTTCTTGTTTGTCCAAACTCCAAAGCATGCTTTTTAACTAGTTGTCGTAAATATAAGTTGAGAGATGGTGTATCAGATCATATGTTAGTGATTTACATTACCACCCTGCTTTCATTATGCTGTATTTAGGACAGAGTAAAGGACAGTGCAACGCGTTAAAGGCTTTGTTTGGTTCCTTGTGAGATCTTTGGAGCCTTAAATGGAATTTCTACAAAGCATGATTCCACTTCCAATTCACATATGGGCGACCAAACACTGCCTTTCTGATTTGTGTCTGTATTGATATCTTTTATTTAACTGAGCCCGAGTCATTTTTACTGTGATGGGAAGGGTATAATGATATCAGGCTGTAAACCCTGTTGATTTAACTTTATGCTGTGATTACAAATTTTGTCTAGCTTGACCATTGTAATTTGGATAATCATTGCCATACCAGGACATACTGTTGCTGAGGGAACACCTGTAACAGGAAGACAGCGTCGTCTCCCTTGCTGTGGCATTGGCCTTGGCTGGTTCCTGTAAGTGGTTACTTTGTTAATGAATTTCAATGAGCCATCTTGTAATTTTATCTGCTGTTCTATGGGGTGTTCTCTCTCTCTCTCTCTGGTTTCTTTTGGTCTTTATGAAATCTGAATTTCTATTCTAAGAAAAGGTGCGTCTGGTTTGTCTTTTTCCTTCCCAATGAATTGTTGATCATTCTGCTTGCATTAGCCAAGGCTTTTCAAGTTTTATTGGATTTTGAAGACAGGAAGAAGTTGAAATTATAGTTATGCTTTTCATCTTTATCCTTAATATTGCTTATTCTACCTCAGGTTTCTAACAGGGAAACCTTGAGAGAAATTGACTTTTATGAGTAGCTGTTGGAGCCTTAATTAGGAATAGACTGTAGTGCATAGGCTTTCCTCTGACAATTAGAACTATAGTTCTGAAGCATAATCTGTTTTATTCTGATAATGGAGAGGAAGGATGCTGAATACGCTATCATGTAGTTACATCATTTTCGATATTATACAAAGCTATGTACAGCATATAAACATGTCCACTTACTGAGATAGCTACGGATAAGTTTGGCTTGCCGAAAACTTATCCATTTTCACAAGCTTGTTTTCTAGTAATGTTCTAGAATAGTACGATAACAAATCTACATGATACAGAAAGTGATGCTAGATTTGCTATTGAATTTTTTATCGGAAACCTTTTAGTTGCAGACTACTATATCCTCAAAAGAACTGCTATGGTTATCAAGAATTGTTCTATTTGGATATCAATATTCTATATTGGCTATTGTCAAGTTAAACATGTTGCAAATGTGATGTTAGATGAAGAAAATGACTGAATATTAATATGTTATTTTGTTAAACATCTCTTTTACATGTAATAAAAGTTTGTGTAACACTTAGATTTTACAGTTTCTTTACATAATTCTGAGATGCATTGTTTTCCCTAGGTTTATCATTGGCTTCTTTCTTGCTGCAATCCCCTGGTATTTTGCTGCATTCATCATACTCTGTGCAAAAGTTGATCCTCGAGAAAAGCCTGGATATATTACATGCACTGTTGCTGTAAGTAATCTTCAACTCTCTTTATAGTACTAAAGGGTGCAGCTGATTTTCCAACTGCCTTAATTTTCTGATCGTTGCTGCCTTATCAGGATGTCATTTTTTTTTCTTGTCAATGAACTATGAAAAATTCCTCTTCAATATGTTTGCAAAATATTCTGGAGTCCTTTTGCATTGGATATGCCTGTTTGATTATGAACTTATTCGAAGCAAAAAAGAGTCCACTGTAGTATGTGATCCAAATAGTCCTTGTTTGCCTCGAAAGTCCTTCCTTTCAGATGGTGAGATTCGATATTTGTGCTGTACTTTAGCGAATTGGATGAGCCACTGAAGTAGGAAGGACTCAAATTCACATTTTTCCCGTTTTTCAAGAAAAGGTTTCGTAGCCATAATTGACTTGAGACTGCAACCTGAGTTGTAAATTCTTCAATCTCGTGTTGAGCCTAGCTCACTTAAGTCATTACGACATTGCAGTGAATATTTTCGAGCCAGTATAAACTCGAAGGATTAGCAGCATTGATGTGTTTTTAATCTTCTACAAAAGCCGATAGAGTCCCAATATGTTCCATATCTTCATAACCTGTAATTTTTTTCCCATTCACAGGCCATTCTTGCTACTATTGCTATTATTGTGGGCGCGACGAAGAGGGACTGGTGAAAATCTCTTTCCAGAGGGTTGTACAGGTTCATTATGGGTGGATGTATATGCCTAAATCTACTTGTTATGAGTTTGCAAAGAAAATAATTTCTTTTTTATCCTTTGAATCCTCCTCTTAAATCAGAAACCTAACGTAGTTATGTACTATGTTGTGAGAGAAATCCATCTACGACATCGTTTGCTTCTTTTCGACCATGTTTGCGTAAAAATCACATCTTGAGGCTTGCAATCAATAGTGAGTTTTTTTTTTTTTTTTTTCTTTTCTTTTTTTGCATCGGCGGTGTTAACATTTAGGCCATGCTTGGATTGCTTGTTTCCATCGGAAAATATTGTCGTTTTCCGTGATCACATTTCGCTATCACCTTTTTTCCTCACATATATCAAATCGCTACAGTAATTTTTCCATGAAAAATGACGAAAAATGTGATTCAAACACAAAATTTAGGTTCATTTCGTATCCATTTAAGCCTGTCAGTATAAAAAATTTGTTACCCTGACACTGCATAAAAAATTAATTCATGGATATTATTGGTAATCTTTGCAAATACAGATTGGGCCTTCACCAGAACTTATATGTGTCTGGGCTATTTCTTCTAACTCGAGTCCCTACAGACAACTCTCTAACTAACTAATTGCTGGATTATGGGCTAGTACTTTTGTGAGCGTAATCTAAACTGGTAGATGATATATGGTGGGCGACTCCCAAGGCCCGTGGCGGTTTCGGATTTGTTTTAACTGGATTAAGGGATTACTTTTTTTTACCACCCCTCTTCCTGGAGGGAAAGGGATGATTGTTTTCTTATATGAAAACAAACAAAAGACCGAAGGCCATTGATTCTTTTGCCCCATTGATTCTTGAAAACTCTTGAGAATGGCAAGCCAACGTTGTAGCCCGAAAAGACAGGCATGGGACCTATTAAGCGAGCTGCCAGATCCATTGTTATGCTCAATAATCTCGTATCTTCCCACAAAAGAAGCCATTGCAACGAGCATACTATCCCGCAGATGGAGATCCTTGTGGAAGTGTCTCACTCGCATTGATATTGGTTTCTGTCCCCGGTCATTGCCGGGAGAATCATACTCGGAAGAGATTGAAAAAGTGCTATTTTCGCAAGAGAACAGTTTCATCTCGGTTTTCCAGCTAGTTCTTAGCCGAGGAAACCTGACTCTGGAGGAGTTGGGAAGATGGATTGAATATCTGAAGGAAGAAAAAAACGTGGAACAAATTTCACTTATTGGTAAAAGACTCGTTCGTACACTTGGACTAGAATTCACCCCAACAACGACATGGCCTGCTAACTTCTTTCGCGGCAGAACTCTTCGTTTGGTAGAACTGAAATATTTGGCGATTGGTGATGCATCTGCTTTTGAGGATTGTATAAATCTCGTTTCTGTGAGCGTAGCGGATGGAGTTCTTGCTAAGATAATTTCCAATTGCATATTCTTGGAGAATTTGACCCTTATAGGTGCTAGGTACTTGAAAAAACTCGACATTCGTGATACAAGACTCAAGTACTTGGGAGTTGGAAATTTGTGTCTAACCAAATTTGAGCTCCGCGCTGAAAGTTTGAGATATTTGTCTCTCAATAATGTCGCTTGTTCCGCCTTCATCTTTGAATGCTCAAACCTTGATGAATTTCAACTTTATTCCACAACAGGAAATCAAATTTCGAGGGTTTCATGTGTTTCCAAGGCTTCACATTTTCTAGAGAGGTTAAGCGGCATACGGGTGAGAACCCATCTCTTTGTCTCATTGACTATGAATAGCATATTGCATGCATGGCCAAATTAACGTGCAAATACTAAGTATTGTTTGAGTATTCTAAAAGACTGTTAAAAACTACAATTCGTGATTTTGTTTGCTTCCTGATTTCGGGGAACTATTAGCAATGCTCAGAAAGATCTAACAAGTTCAGACTCATACTTTTGCAACGTGAGGGCATTGCACACCAGTTTGGATCTAAACAATCTGGATGACAATATCATACTTCGCCACTGCTTTTACGTTTGGACTAAGCTAGAACGACTGCATATTACCAATGAGGTTAGTCAATTTTCAACTCAATATTCTTGGGGTTGCTGTACATAAAGATTTTTAGCTAGTTGAGTTATTTTATTTTATATTAAGATTTTTTGGCTAACTGAGTTGTACATAAAGATGCCCTTGAAATTTACTCAATTTTCCCTCACATATCTGCATATATGGACAGTTTAGTTTGATTTGATTTCGCAGTTATATAGAATTAATTTTGCCATTGTAATGTGTATTTTATGTATATAATGTCAGGTTGACAGAGATAACCCCAGAGCATCAAAGCATCTTTCTTCCATATCCGGAGTTCTCTTTTTGGGAAGGACACTTACCAGATAGTATCACCCATCACCTCAAGGTTGTTGAGATAAAGGGTTTCAATGGAAAGGAAAGAGAAATGAGGCTTGCCACTCATCTGATAGAGACTGCTACAAAATTGGACAGACTTGTGATCCAATTTGACAAAGTCTGTCCAAAAGTAACAAAAGAAGATGCCAAAAGAAAGCTATTATCGGTGCCAAAGGCTTCCATCAACGCTGCTATTGTCTTGAATCATGAGAAAGATCGATACTTTCACTCTCCCTCTAATAATTTCCAGCTGAAGAAGTCCTGTGCTTAGGATTGCTTTGATGTGTGATCAAGTTATGGAATCGTTGGGTCCTTGTGAATTTGTTCCGGCACCATAGTTTTCTGATTCAGTTGGTAACTGTTACTGTTTCCCTTTACACGTTATTCTTGGATAATCTAACATGAATGCAAAGTCAAATCCACCTCTTGTTTTTTAAGAGAAATTATATTGGAAATTATGTTTAAAACTTCAGGAACTATGTGACTAAACGACAACTTTATACTGCTAATGCCAAAATACCACAACACCGTTTTGGCTTAGTTATATATAGTCGGTGTCTCATATCTCCCTACCCACCTCCACCGACTTCCAACCAAACTAGATGTTTGGAATCTTGATTTCCAGCAACTTAGTCAATAAAATTACTATCCTTTGTTATTTGAAAAAAAAAAAAAAGAAGAGAGAGGGAGTCTTGATTTGCTAGTTCTGGCATTTATATATCTTGAAATCATTTATCTAATACTATCTCGAAGTAGTGAGATAGGCAGTCGTTTTCATGATCGGTTCATCTGTACCACAATTTTTGTTAATTTATATTGACATGTCGAATTAAAAATGTAGTTCAATATAAAGTCAAGTGGTCTCTTGACTCAATCCACGGGAAAGTTTAGGCTATTCTATGCTCTCCTTGAGTAAATGCAACGAACCCTTTTTTTTTTTTTTTTGCAGAGATTGGTACTATTATTACAGAAATCAATGCTTTTGCTTCTTAATTTAATCGAAGCAGACAATTTCGGAAACTACTTCACCACCAACGAGAAGAAGAAGACAAATCATCAGTACAAAACTAGTAAAATACTTATTGAGCTGCTTGCCAAAGAAGGAAAATTTCATTTTGATGTCAGAGGGTAAGAAAAGGAAGCAAAACGGAATTGGAGTAAATAAAACTTCAACAATAAAAAGTAGTTGGATTAGTTCTTGCATTACATCTTTTTCATTGACACAAGGAGGAATGGTTTATTATTTCAATTATGTAAAACGACATGACATATACAGTTTGGACATCAAGAAGTTATAGATGTATACAAAGAGAAAATTAACTCAGAAGGTGCAAGAATAGACAGATTAGTTCTTGCTTCATTTCCCCCTGTACACCAACAATAACAAAAGATTGGAATGTGCAGAATGTCAATGTAACTTTTATCGTACTTTTTTGATCGAGTAATGAAACTTGAGGATGGCAAGAATAGACAAAAGAAAACCATCAGATAATTCGGTATATGTGTTTGGAGCTGGCTGCTTTAGTCATGGTGTTCATCTCCTTCGTATCTCCATGTCCTGTAAGAGCTTTCTCAGGCACTTGTTTGCAATGATGGAGCCAAGGGGGGCATGGCCCCCCTAAGTTTTGAAAATTTTAATTCATAATATGTAAATATGTGTGTAAAATAAAATTGCCCCCCCCCTAAATTTTTATAATTTTAGTTTATATTATGAAAGTTGATATATATATATATATATATATATATATATATATGAATTAGTTATCGAGTGGATATATTTCTTGCAACAATTGATTATCAATTGCAAGAGTTACATAGCAGGTTTAATGATCATACCATGGAATTGCTTGTTTTGAGCACTGCTTTAGATCCTAGAAATGGATTTATGCTGATCAAGATTGATGATATTTGTAAACTTGCAGAGAAGTTCTATCCGAATGATTTTATGGAGCAAGAACTAATACGTCTAAGAATAGAACTTCAACATTTTGAGCTCGACATTCCAAATCATCCTGAATTGCAAGAATTATCTGGTATTCATGAGTTATGTCAAGGCTTGGTGAAGACAAGAAAATCAGTGATATATCCTCTTATTGACAGATTGATTAGACTTGTTCTTACTCTTCCTGTATCAACTGCAACTATAGAGCGGGCATTTTCAGTTATGAAAATAATCAAGACAAAGTTCTGAAACAAGATGGAAGATAATTTCTTGAATGATTGTCCAACTGTGTATATAGAAAAGGAAGTTGCTAAAAAATTTAGCAGTGATTCAATTATAGATGAATTTAGTTCTATGAAAGAGCGTAGAGCTCAATTTACTTCTAAGAAAAGATGTTGAAATTTCAAAGTATGTTAACATAACTTTTATCTTTTTTCAATTGAAAATAGTTACATTTATATTATATATATATATATATATATATATATATATATATATATATATATATATATATATATATATTGCATAGGTGACATATTGGAGAGCATCTTCTCATAGTGTGCAAATTGGATGGTTTGTGATGTTATAAGATATTTAATCAAATGTTATCTTTTTTGTTAATTTTTGTTATGACTGTACCGCATATTTATGAATAGACATACCTTTATAATTAAATTTAGTATTTGATATTTTTAGATGCTTAACTAGAAGAAAATTATTTTGAACATAATATATTAAAATAATTTTATTAGGAAAAAATTTTGGCCCCCACAAAAAAAATCCTGGCTCCGTCACTGCTTGTTTGTATCTTTCCACGTTCAATTTGACCCACTACACTGACCAAGTATTCTTCCTGCCAAGAAAATTTGCAATGGAAACAAGCAAAAAAGACTCAAACTGATAGCAAAAAGGGTTACTCTCATTTCTTTAACTTAAGCAAAATTTCTCACAATCTGCTCCTTAAAGTTAGGGAATATATAATAAACCTTCCCACATACATGCCCTTTCCGTACAACTGGCTAAAAATTGCAGCACAGATTCTGCACTTAGTCTATCGTGTTGCTGTACTTAGTCTTGTTCAGCAGTTCTGCCCCTCACTCTGAGAATCTTTTATTGCCTGATGAACGTACAGCATTATTTTTTTTTTTTTGGTCAAAAAAAAGGACCTGGCCCCACTTCAGGCCCCAACCCTTATTCGGGTTGTTGGGTTACCCCATTTTCGTTACTGGGACTCGAACGTACAGCATTATTCATTGACTGAAAAACTAGTTTCGGTTGAATGGTGTTAATTTGATATCAGTAGTAGCCCTTGCCATCACTTGGCAAAACAAAACGAAAATATCAAATGAAGGATGCAAGTTTTTATGCCTGAGCTAACCTAACAGTCAAGAAATGAAGTTTATCAAAGCTAATTAATTAAAAAAAATTAAAACTACATATTAAATAAAAAGTATGCATGCCACCCAATTATATAGATGATAAAATGTTCCAGACACGGGTTTAAATTTAGAGAGACTGATGAGAATGATGCAACCATAATCATTACAAAACTTTGCTATATATGTAGTTTTAGGACAGGATACCCTAATGCATAGCATCTTAAATCTCGTGATCATTAAAATACTCATATAGGAACTCTAGGTCTAGCCGTTTAGGTGCCCATCGGATGGTGCAAACCCTAATGTTGTTCCCCATGTAAAAGACAAAACAAAAGTACTTGTGGTGCTAATACTTATACAGACTGGAAAGGTTAATGCTCACTAATTTAGACATTTTTCTATGACACAGATGTCCTAAGTTTGGTCGTAGGACTATTTTGTTATATGTTTTCACAATTTATCCGTACTAACTTTTATAATCTTTATATACAGCTGGTAGCAAATCCAAAAACAAATTGTGTCTCAAGTATCCCTTCTTCCCCCATGCAAAGTTGCCTACCCACCACCCAACCACCCCCCCCTCCCCAAAAAAAAAGAAAAAAGGGAAGGAAAATAAGTAACTAAAGCTCTTAAATCTGATATAATCTTTCGGAAAACCCTCATTGCTCTTACTTTTGAAATAATTTATCAAATAAAAGAAAATCTAACTTTCAACTCTTTAATTTTGATACTGTATTTTTTTTTTCTCATGGTACTGTATTTCTTGCTGACATTACTCCATCTAAGTGGCTGACAGAAGATTGAGTGTTGAAAGATAATCTGCATTCATAAGCATCTGGAGTTACTGGTAAGTACGGACTGATACCCGAGCTTCTACATGGCACTGGACCAAAAATTAAAAAAAAAAAAGTGCAAATTAAGAGAATTACCCTTGCCGATTCAACTCTTACTCCAACGACCATCTCAGTTCGATACTTCTGTTCTGTCAATTACATACTTTGAGAGTCACCCCTGAAAAAATGTCGAAAACCTAGCTTAGCCATAATAGCCCACATGCAGAGCTTGGTTGGTAGAGCTTGGGTCTGCTTCTCGTTACCCAAGACTTACATAAGATGCATCATCCATGACAGTTCATGATTATATACATTTTACAAGTTATTTTTGTGGAAGCACATGATGGAAATTAGCAGTGAGATGCCCATGCATTGTTGTGGGCTTATGGCTGTCAAAAATATTATATTTTTCTCGGTGAATACTCGTACGGAAAACAAAATGCAAATCAGTTTGCAATGTCTCTTTTCCTCTTTTGTAAAGTTTAGAATCTCTTCTAAAACCCAAAAAAATAAAATTTGTAAAGGTTTGCAATTTATGGGGATATCAACACACTTTTAACATAGACCGAACCATGCACGTAATCACTAGTTATTAGTTTGTCGGGGAAAATGAGGATATTTTTTCAACTTTGGTCAGACTTTTTTTTTTTTAGCTCTTCTTTCGAGCATAAAAATATAAACATGGAATAAAAAGGAATTGCTTTACTGTCCAATATTTCCGATTCTCAAACTGGTTTTAATAGTTAATTACCTGAAACGGGGAAAAGTTAAAACTATATGTGCTGTCTCTATGTTTATATAACTTCTAGCTAGCATCCCATTAAAGGTAATGAAAGTATTCATATATTAGTACTAATTATTATGGGCGTCTTGCTACTCGGAATCTGCTTTAGTCAATGCCAACCACTTGGTTATCACGCTAGACCTCAAACATATAGGCAATGGACCATTCTAATTAGGCTGTTCAATCCTTTTTGGACGGTGGAAGATAGTGCACATGAATTGATGATCACTTAATTAACTTCCACTCTCTTACATATGCTAATTATATTCAGCTAGCACTATGATCTGTTTTAGTCACAATGGAAAAGAAAGCAAAGGAAGCCTTATTTTAATT